TTTCAAAAAGTATCACTACTTTCAGATACACCAGAAGTTCCATCAGTTTTAAGACTATAAAAACTGAATGTGCCAGTGACCAACAAAAGAGAAATGTTCAGGTCTGTCCTTTGACATGTGTCTGTCTGCTTCTTCCCTTGCCTTTTATTTTTAAGAATTCTGAGACATCCTCATTTATTTAAATCCCAACAATGTTTTGTAAAAGCTCCCTTCATAATCTATTAATTCATCACCATCCTGTTTTTATTTTAAAGAAGTAGCTTTAGCAATCTGTACTGTACTTTGATTTGCTCTTTTTGACTGACCACTGAAGAACTCTTCCTGGTTTCTTTGTCCACCTCCCAAATGTGATTGGTTTTGTTTCAAATCATGTAGTTCTCAGCAAGTATGGTGTGACTGAATGATCTGATAAACTGTACTTAGAAGTAAATTCTGATGATTAAAACATTCCAGTTAGATAGATGTGAGACACCAGATGAGCAGTACAAGCAAATTAAATGGGTTGGGATATTGATAGTAAGCAGATAAGCAGTAATTTTGAATGGTTTGCGTGCTTTTACTTTTTTCATTATTTTGGAGGCAGAGAGGCTGTACTGTGCTTTCATCACTGTTTCCACACACTTGCCTTTTCACTGCTTTCATTGCTCTCTGCTTGATGGAATTGCTGTCATGAAAAAACCCACAAACCAGCTGAAAAACAGAAGTGTTTCCTACTAAGTGCTAAAGGACAGGTGCAGGTTTATATTATGCATGCTATCTGCGATGGGAACAATGCAGACCAATGCTGAAAAGACTTTTACTGGCACTGAGCTGGTGTAGTTGGTATGTCACAGTGCCTGGCTTCAGGCATCTGCCTGCTGCTCTCATGAAGAGGAGAGGAGGGGGTGCCTGGGACCTCCTTTTACACGGCTGTTTCCTACTGGCAGAACAGAAGGATATCTCACCTGTAGTGAGATATCTGAGAGGTACTCAGATATCAGGTAGGGACCAGGGCAGTCACTGAGACCAAGACAGTCATTGCCTTCTTCCTGTAATAGAAAAACACCTTAAAAGCAGTTTAATTTCAATGCAGTGTTGAATGCAGATCAATCATTCCCACTCTTAACCCTCCAGTTCTTAACTCAAAGCTGTATGCATGGCTGCTTCAAAGTTGTTATTTCAGAAACAATTTGTGCATTAGGGGGTGTGCAGGGAGAGAAGAAAAAAAGGAAACTGAAGCATTTAAGCCCAAATTTCATGGGAATTATTACTGAAAGAACAGCACATCTGTGTTACCTTTATTCATTATATAAGAATACCCAGTATATCATGATCCTAACTAGCAAAAAGTAAACCTATATTAATTCTGAAATCCATTTTAGCCTTCTTTTAAATGCAGTGTAAAAAATTATAATCTTGAGGAGTATATTTGCTGTCTAGAGCAAATTCATGTTTCTCTTGTTACTCTTTGCCAAGGAGAGCTGGTTAGGAGGCAGACAGCATATGGTTACATGACTGCTGTGGTTTGCATGTAATTTGTGGTCTGCTTAATTCCTTGTTTCGCAAGAGACATAATCTTACACGTAAATAAAGGTTCATTTCATATTATCCTAGGGTGGGGGTTTTTTGTCTCCCCTGTCTTAAGGCTAGTCAGGGAAGCCCAACAGAATGATCAAGTAATCAAATCAAGACCTTCTCTTGATTTGCCTGTCGTAATGATAGCTTAGAGAAAAACTCAAAAAAAAGCAGACACATTCATCCAATTTGCAGGTACTGTTCATTGTACTTGCTGCCTGAAAACATGGAGAAGTGACACTCTCTCAGTGTGTCTGACGCTCTAATAAATACTTAACCCCGGGCCATTACAGACACAAGCCTTTTTTTAATATCATTGGAATCATCTTCAAAACATCTATGAAACCAGAGATTGTGAACTCCTATCAACTGAAAAAAAATAAATTTAGGTTTCTGTTTCAAAGAACTGTCCATTGATTTCTTCTGTCACTGTCATTTTAATAAACATTAGTCTATTTGCTTTTTCTGCCTTGTTTATCCTGATAAATTTTATTTTGTTTATGACGATGTACAATTATTTGCTACCTAGTAATGTTTCTGTTGCCTGAGTACATCACTAAAATAGCTTAAACAGAGTAGTCATTTTTTGGTCTGTGTCTGCTAACAAATTCAGGTTTTATTTATGGAACAAGTTATTTTTCTTGAAATCTGTTTGTTGAAACTAAGATTTCATAATGTTTTTCCTCAATTATGATAATCCATTTATTCATATGTATCCTGTACTGCAAGTGCAAGAATGAGAAACTGAACTTGATTGACCAAATGGATTTTATAGATTGGATGCTTTTCTAATTTTACTCTATTTTTTAATTATTCTTTAGTGCTTACAAGTGGTAAAAACTCCCTATTTTTTTTAAGGAAATTATGGTGCTAAATTATATATCCTACCGAAGAGCCCTTGCAAACAAATACTATGTTGGATTGTCTTCTTGATTCACCTAAAACTTCTCTTGTGTTTGAAGAAAACTTGAACCAACATATGAACAACTCAGAAATATGTGTGAACAATTCATACATGTGCGACTTCAAATCACAGCTGGTTTAGGCTTCACAGATAGTGATTGGCTACATAAATTACCTCCAAAATGGACCAGAAATTTCCATTTCTGGGGCTTAAAAGAAATTTGGCCTAATTTTTAGAGGAAAAAAACTCACACCCAAAACAAACAAACAGAAAACTACTAGAGAAGAATTTATGATGTAAAAACACATTCCATCATCTGCCATAGTGCTAGGGCATGTCTGGTGGATGTTTCCCCCTCTTTCCTTTCCCCAGACCTATTGTGTGTTTTCTTTTTGGCAGGAGGGCCATGCTTTGGCCTTCCCATCATTTATTGTCCCAGTGAGTCCAAGAGTGCTTACAGGCCATTCTTCACCCACCCTACCATCAGGCAGGGGAGTCACCACCCAGGGGGTTTAGGGGAGAAGAGGCACCACCTTTGGCTGCTGGGTGGTGATGCTGGGGCTGCTTCCCTGGACAGTCTGTTCAGGAACCACCCTGTGCAATCGAAAGACAAGTCAGAGGCTTTTTCTTACTCATTTGGGAAACCCAGAGCTTCTTCAATCAACTGCATGCCAGCTAATTATGAGGTCTCAAGAAGTGGCATTGGCAGCAGGGAGGGGAGGCAGTTTGGGTTTTATTTTCCTGCTGTCCCTTTCTGGGATTGCGTTGAGCAGCTCTTAGAGCAGGAATGCATTTGATGTGGAGGACGCCCATGCTGTACTCACAGAGATCTAGAAGGAAAAAAAACTCCATGACCTATAAGCCATAGTGGTAGTCAGGACACCCATTAGCAAAGCCTTTGAAGATAGGAACTAAGGGTTAGAGAGTCTAAGTCTTTGATTGCAGCTCTTTGTAGGGAGGACCTGAAGGCAGTAATGACACTGTAGTACACAGATTCATAGGCTTGGAATGTCACTATGACTTTAATTGGCCAAATAATGGCCTTTTCTTATACTCCCAGTTGAAGGTATAGGGGAACTATAATATATCCTCTGTCCTTTCTAGCTCAGTTTCCAGCATTTAACAATAATAACCTGAATAATTCTTTAAAATACATATTGATTTAACTTATTCCTCTCCTTATTCTGTTTCAATAGCTGCTCTGGTGAGAATGTTGTAAAACAGACATGCTACTGTAGCTGAGCTTTGTGTAGACTGTAGTTTTAATTTACCTAGTGCACAGATGGCTTTATTAATTCAAATGGTAGCAGCAGTGACTGTGTCTGTTTATACCAGGACAACATGTAAGTAACTCCAAATGATGGTGAGTACTTACATTGTTGGCACTATGAATATCTGGATGATATAGTTTCTCTGTCACAGTCCTCCCAGTAACCTAAGGTACAAGTTTTGACCTTCTGTGCCTCTTTTCACCATGTGTAAAAATAATAACTCATCATTACCCTAATAATACCTAGAGGTACTTTGTTATTACAAGACTGGGGAAGGAGTCCTATAATTACATAAGTAGAAAAACACATTTGTAGAAAGACCAGATGCTTAGGCATACATGCAAATGAGAGATTAACAGCTTCTCTTCCTTGTCTCTCCAACATAATTTTCTTCAGCTTGGAATACTGCACTTTGTACTTTTACAGGGATAAAACTGATTTATCAGACCAAACTCTAAGCTCTTCTAAAATATCAAAGCCGAGGTCATTATCTTAATGTCTAAGCTAAGCTAGGCTAAGCACAGCAGACCCAAATCTTACATTATCTGAGATGCATCTTCATTGCCCACTGGCAGAAATCCCAAGTAATTTACTCCGTGGAGTTACATCCTTGTAAAACTCATGTAGATGAAAATAGAACTGGAGCCTCATGTTTCTGCTGTTACATGAAGGTCTGACATCACAGACATATTTTTAATACAAATGGCCATGCAAGCCTAAGAGTTGTGCATGTGTTTGATGAATGCTTATTATTTACCTCATTTTCATTCCTTTTCTGTATACTGCAGAATAAAGTGCAATTCTGTCCTCACAGGAAAAACAGGGTTTACTCCATGCTAAACCTCCTAATTTCTGTATGGTGTTGTCATCAGATTCACTGGAAACCCACTTGCCCAGATATGGTTGTGCATTCTTCTGGTACTTGTTATATAGTTAATTATAGGTTATACATTGAAGGAAGAATATTTTCGGGTTTAACACAAGCAATTTTTTTAAAGTTGATTGGTGTTCTTCTGAGGTTGGGTTTTAGTGTTATGCTGTTATGCACTGCTGCTTTTTCCATGGCTTTCATTCTTTCATACTGCTTCTGTACCACAAGCCATTGCCTGTAGTTCTCCGAGAAGCATACTGCTGAAAGTAGAATAATTGCACACATATAACTATCACAATGATTTTTTTTTTCTTTTTGTGTGTATTGCCTTGACAGTAAGATTTGAGAAGGCAAAGTATGTATGAGGTCCAAACACCAATTATTCTGTTTCTTTTGCTAGATGTGCCAACGCCAGAGGCTGGAAGAAAAGTAGTGGATGCCTCTGTAGTGAACGGTGGCCTGGCACCACAAGGAAAGCAGAATGGGACCACACAAGTAACAGTACAACGCAAGAGACTCCTTAAAGCTCCCACATTGGCTGAACTTGACAGCTCAGATTCAGAGGTAAAAAATCAGGACACAACTTGCTTCTCGATTTGTCAGAATTGAGTCTTGTTTCTTAATTTGCTGAACTGATCAGATGAGAAGTGACTTTGCAGATTATAATCTGAATTTTCTGTGACTGCTCTGTCAGCCCATGGAACTTCAAAAATCTTAGATCAGATCTCAAAAAAGGAGAATATTATTTTAAAGTGTTAAAAGGGAATTTTGGCCTTAAACTAGTATTTACTTACTTTCCATAATGTCCAGTGTCTGTCCACAGTGTGTGTTTAGCAATTATGCTTTTGGGAATTCAGGAAAATGCGTTGCACCCTTCTGGCACCCACAGAGGAGCTGTCACTAAAGGACTCAGATGTAAGGCCAGCCTCACCCTACCAGCTGTTAAATAAAGAGCATCAGCTGTGCCAGAGGGGTTGCAGTTTGCTGCAAATGTCAGTGCATTAATTTGCTATATAAGATTGGGAACTAACACCCTAAAAATGTTTCACAGACAGGGACAAGCACGTACCGCTCAGATGAAGAAATAATTTTGAATCCGTCCTCTCTCAAATTGAGAGTTAAAGATTTAAAAAAGCATTAAAAGGAGAAAACCTTAAAAAGCTTTTTAGCTTCAAAGCTGCCTTATATATGATCTTCAGGAAGTACCAACATTACATCCTCAAGAATGATCTTTGTCTTCTGGACCAGTAGTATTATTAATTGAGTTTGGACCTTTCTGAAAGTTAAGCTGTCTGGAAAGCTCATGCAGGCAGGGCTTTATTCACAGAGAATAATTTTAGCCTGGGGAAAGCAGTCTTCCCTGACTGTTTTTCTCTCTTGTAAATGGGGAAGGAGGGGTTTCCTGACAGGGTGGTTACAAAGGCATCTAAGCTGAAAAGAAGGCTGGGAAGAAATATATGTGGGGAGAAATTTATCTCTTTGCATAGTTTCTTGATCTGTGAAAGGTTGGTCCTCTTTGTATTAGGGGTTATCCTGTGGGTGACTTGTGTGGGTGCGTAATTTGATACATCTGTTCTGAAAGCAGAAGAGATTTGCATTCTGAAATCACTCATCAGTCTTTAAGATTACAACAGAGGCTACATGAGGTTTTGTTAACATGAATGAAGCTGGGCAGAATTCAGGAATATTAAGACCTGTCAATGAGAGTTGGGTCTTGAACTTACAGCTTCTGTGCATCCTTGAAGCTAATGCAGCATGATATTTCACAAAGAAAAATGAGCAGAAGTCAGTAAAAGAAAATTATGTAAAGGGAAATGTGAAATAATTCTTGTAGGAGGGAAAAACAAAATGTCTGAATGTGGCTATTGACTAGGGAATACTGTGTAGGCAAGCAAAGTGGTATGGAATAAGCTCTGAAACATACAGCAAAAGATAAATTGAAAATAAATCAGTAACATCGAGCTATCACAGAGAACACATGCTGTACTGGGTTGAGTCAACAGACATAACTGGTGAAGCAATTGAGATGTTGAAGATGCTGAAGCAGAATACTGGTTGGGGCTCAGGAACAGTGCTAAAGTAGTGAAAATAAACTGAAGGGAGTTAGGGTGAAATTTTCAAGCTGATGAAGGGGGTGGGACATGGAACATTTGAAGAAAGTGAAGATCACTCTGTCAAAATGTCTTATTTGTTTCCTGACTTCTACTTTGCATGTAACACACAGAAAAGCGTTTGTGTTGTCCTGATTGCCTGTAAATGACTCGGCCACCTTTTTGACTGCAGTTCCAATTGGGCTTAACCTATTTAGAGCTACTCACTGGGAGGGAAATTATGACTATGCCCTAAATTACAGGCTGGAAATACCTGCACTGCTAAGCTTTGGACCTCCAAATGAGCTACAATGCAGACGCATTTTCTTCATCCTGAATCTCCTTTGTTCTTTCAGCTGTGTTGTGATGCAGGCTACATCCCAACACTCAGTGTAGCCAGATAGAGGTGAAAGGGAAGGTCTGATACAGCCCTATGCCCATTCACTGGCAAGGATGAATACTGTATGAATCATTACTTCTTTCTGTCCTTGATTTTTCTGCATCGCCCAGTTTCCAAGGGGCAGGGAGCAGGAAGTGCTGTTTTGCTTTGTGTGGCTAGGAGAAGTAGCAATCTAATAGTGATTTTTTAAAACAGATATAAAAATTATATCTTCTGTATGAAGCTGCATCTATCTGGACAAAAATCATGTCTGTAACATAATTACATGTTTTAGGGTGATGGCTTTAAAGCTTTAGCTTTTTCAGTACCTGTAAAATTCTAATTGTTTAGCACTCTATGAAGAAGTGCACAGTACTGGAGTACCTGTAAAATTCTAATTGTTTAGCACTCTATGAAGAAGTGCACAGTATTGGATGTTTTGTTGATCCAACCTCAAATGTAAAATATCAGATAGTCTACCATAATAGTCAACAGTTACTTTATAGATATGAAGAAATAAATACAATGATTCATAAGTACTTCCTACACAAGATTTCATTCTCAACGAAGCTTTCTATGTTTGAGAAATTGTAGGGCAACAGTAGCATTTTCAGTGCACATGTTTGTGCACAGAAGTAGTAACTTGAAATGACAAACCAGGAATACCTGGGAACTTGTAGAGGCCTCTGTCCTGTGATGCATGGTGCTCATTGAGGTGATCCTGCCAGCTTTTCTGTCTGACTGGCTGTTGCCAAAGAAGGCAATCTTTCAGCCAGTGGAGGTTTTCCTGCTTTCAGCTCACTTAACTGAGGAAATCTGTGAGAGAGAGGTTCGGCCACCTGCTGGATTTTAGAGCAGGTCGCATGTTTGATCTGTATGTCTTGACAACTTGCATCATCGGTTGAAGGCATTCACACTGGAGCTAAAGAGCATTCACACTTGGTCCTTCAATGCTGTTTCTTTGGGAGGCTCCTGTGATGATCTGTATCTTTACTTTCAGTCTGGCAACTGAAGACAGAGTTTTTAGGTGAAAGCAAAGGATTTAATAATTTGGGCAGCATAATGCTTTAGCTAGTTGAAAGTTGTTAGTCAAAGCCCATTTCACTTTCCTTCATCTTGCAGGAGTTGCATTTGGCTGTTGTGAAGAAACACGCTTGTATAGTGAATGAGATTTCTTTTAAATACAGAAGAAAGGAGAAATGCACCAGGATTGGGAATTAGAGAAACAGTGCAGTGCAAATCAGATTAGTTTCTCTTTACCTGAGTCACTTATGTGAGTGGCTCTCATTCCTTTGGTGACTAGAGAAATCTAAATGCTGATTCCTTAGTTAGTGCAAGAAATAAAGTTTCCATTTGCTCAGTACTGTACAGTCAATGTTTTTCTCAGGACTTCTAGGGCTTTGAGTGATTGAATGGTGCAAAGTATCTGTGATAGCTTACAGTTTCTGTGTACTAAGAAGTAGTAAAAGAACTAAAAACAGTCCCTGAGGAATTCTGTTTCTTTTCCTCTTGCCAAACAGGAGGAATCAGTGCACAAGTCAGGAAGTAGCAGCAGCATCTCCCCCTCACAAGTGGAAGACCCCTCTCAAGAAGGCACCAGCAGCAGGAAGAGTAAGTTATTGTGAGAGAGCCCAGTGGCTGCTTTTACACACTTCTGTTGTCTTCTGTGCTGTGAACTTCATCTGAAACTTTTATAGAAGGCTAAAGCTGAACGTTTTTAATGGAATAATCCTCTAAAGTTGAACCCTAGAACGTGCTGAATGGGTCAAATGTGATAAACAGTTGGAAGCCATTACTCCCACTATGTGCGGACCTCTTTGTGAAGGAGAAGGTTTCATACTCCATGTAAAACTGTAGTAAAAAGTGAATGGAGGGATAGGTTAGCTCTACTCATCTCATACAATAATTTGTTGCTGCAAAAACATGTTCTAACCTGGGACAAATTCAGAAGTTTGTTGCATGTCTGTCACCATGGCAGTGAATGTACTTGTTTGAAAGACATACAGCAATCATGGGTACTACTATTTACAGACCAAAGGAGAACATCCGGTCTTTTTTTCTTTCAAAGACAGTTATTGTAGCCTTTACTGTGTAACAGTATTTTTCATTTGTTTCAAAGTGTTTCAGTTTCACTGGAAAGGTTCTGTAACGAAACCTGCAATCTGTGCGTGTATTTTCTGTGCATGATGGTGAAATAAGCAGAATAAGCCAACATCCTGAAACACCATGGGAACTGGACAGTAGTGTGTCTTATTTGCTAGTTTTATGAGTATTCCTATTCTCTCAGTCTGGAAGATGTGATGAATGGGATACCTGTCTCTGAGTATGAGCTCTGAGTATGGATGTGTAACTTCAGCTACCAGTAGTAGGAATTCTAGCAAATCAGTGGCTGGATTAATACTGAACAATGTTAACGAACAGTCTCCCTTACAAGAACTAACTTTTTTATGCTGTTTGAATCCTTAGTGCCTCCGAAGTTCTTGCCCATATCGTCTACACCACAGCCTGAGAGACGGCAGCCACCTCAGAGACGACACTCCATTGAAAAGGAAACACCAACCAATGTGAGACAGTTCCTACCCCCTTCAAAACAGAGCTCCAGGTCACTTGTAAGTGGAGGGGGTGGTAGGAGAGAGAAAAAGAGGCATGCTAAGAGTATAATGAAAATTAAAACTTGGCTTCAGTGTGATTAGAGCTTGACTCAAAGAAAATTCAATTCAGAAACAGCCCTTGGCTACTAAAGACATTTTGAAATCAAGATTTGAACTTTATCTCTCTAGCATATTTATCCAAAAACCCAGGTACAGGTGCCTCAGAAAACATTTGCACTTTGATTAGGACTCCGGGTAAAGCCACGTGTCTTGATTTTGTTTCAGAATGTTACCAAAACAAATGAACTTCACCTTACTGATTTTCCACTTGAATAGTGACAATTCAAAAGCAGTGGATCTATTTTGGGATTTGGGAGAATTTTTTTAGTTGTTGGAAGTATTGCTGTTAATGACTGAATGAATTGAATGGTTTCTTTTCTTCCCACCTTAAGAATTTGCATGGTAATGTTTATATATATGAAAACTCTTTCAGTAGTCCAAATCAAGGTTTGTCTGTGTTGCTTTGTTGAAGTCACTGAGGCAAAAACCTGTGCTTGAAAAGAAAGTACAGTGCATTTGATCAATTAGCTTTAATTGAGAACTGTTTTCCAACAGAGTACAAACAGCAAAGGGTATGAAATCCTGGTTCATTTATGCTGACATACTGATTAGTGCTTTGTGATTTCATGTAGGATATGTTCCTTGTCTCTTTTCCTACCAGCAGGGTTTCAAAGTATGCCCCATGAGGTGCTGGTGAATAGGAAAATTGATAAACACATCCTAGTTTTGAAAGGAAGGTAATATTCACTTGCCCAGTCTTGTAGCGCAGTGGTATTAACGGGCTTTGAAGAGCATTTTTGTTGGCCCAAGAGATGATGGCCAGGATCCAAACCTATTACATGATGAAGTTGATCAGTAACAAGAAAAATATCTCCAAATATTCCCATGAAGTCCTTTCCCTTTTCAGAGAGTCTGCTGGATTTGATTACATCCTTCCAGGTAGAATGTAGTTCCTCATTCCTGCTGAAGGTCAGGTAGTAACACGTTGATAAATGCACAACACAAATAGACATCTTCTGCCAAAGTGAACTTGGAGCAGAACATATTGCAGCAGAACCAAGCTGGAGGGCTCCTTCAAACATGCGTTTGAAAACACTATCACATAAAATGGGTTTTCTGCTGGCCACTCACTGTATGTGGAAACCCAAGCTTTATTTTCTGGTAGGCCTAGAGTTACTCACAGACAAGTAGTTTAAAGAGAGGAGGGGTTCAGAAAGCATTATATGCTATACTGAGACATTTGCTCCATCCTACTTTTAGTGTATCTATGTTACATCGTAATATTAATCTTGTGTATTTGAGAGGATCATCCAACTTAAAAATCTCACATGAGGCTGGTATTTTAAATAGGTCAACCAACTTCTCACCAGGATCTGTCTGACCATGTGCATACTCTGTCAGTCTGTTCACTGACATATGCCTAGAAAAATACATACAAAATAAAACCATTGCAGAAAATCTAATTGAGTTATTCCATTCCCCTTGAAAAATACTAAAGGAAAAGGGAGAAAAAGCCATGAGATAAGTCAGGCTAATGTGGGAACAGATGGGGGAAGGGTTTTACTAGTTTCTTTTGTGTTTGGGGGGGGTTTGTTTGTTTGTTTTGGTCATTTTTTTAGTTGGATTTTTTTTTTAAATCTTCAGAGAACTGTCACCTAGCTTGGTTTTAGTTTTGAAGTGAGAAAGAAGGAAAGATAGTAGTGAAATGATGTTCCATTAGTAAGAACCTATTTTATTTGATGCCTAGAGACCTAATTCTTTAACTTGACGATAGTGCCCTCTAGGGTGTGACAGACAACTCCCACAATACTCTTGTTTTTCTTTTTGATAGATGAGTTCTGATATGCTGGCACTGGCCCAGTTCCAGAAAGCTTCAGCTTTCTGCAACTCTCTCCTTCCCCGGAGGGATGCCAACCTTCCAGTGGCTGTGCCAGATGTTGCATGTGTAAAATTGCCCTTCCAGGAGTGAATGCTTCTTAATGAGTGCAGAATATTATTTATTTTTTATTTGACATCACACTTTTTGATCCCTTCCTTCAGGATTGATGGAATTTCATTTCTTATCACCAGCTCCTGTGACCTCGGTTTCTCTCCAAGGTGAAGGAGGCCTCGTCAATAAATAGCCCTCGATGCCAGTGAAACCAGTCAGGGGGTTGCTACAGTCTCTTAGCAGGATTAGCAAGAAACTGGTCTGTCTTGCATACTAACGATGGTTTTGTGAACTGGCATCTCATCAGATAGAGGCAGTTAGGCCTAAGTAGGTGGGGAGGGGAAACAAGCTTGGAAAAGCGCCAAACATAGTCCTTTTGATGTGTCACCCTATCAGTGCTACATGGAAAAGCAGAGTGGCTCAGTGATTTTGGGGGGGCAGTCCTGGTGGTGTGCTTACTGTAGTGAGCTGACTTGGAGATTAATCAGTGAGATGAAGTCAGTGTCCGGAGATGTACATATGGATGCCTTTGTAGTCTGTTTGCTTTTTTAATTATTATTATCATCATTATTTTTTTACATGACCCAGAGGACCAAAGCTAATGGTTTCATTTATACACAGCATTCGCTTCTCTGCTTCCTATCTATTGTTCAGGTTCCTAGGATAACCAGTTTATTTCCAAGGATGACTTTCAGACCACTTTTTTCAACTATGCAAGCAGCTTCTCTGCTCAGCTCTCATCCGGTTGAAGCAGCCATGTGTGGGGTGGCAGGGGCTATGTACTATCTCTGTGAGAGAGCTTTTGCCAGCAGGTGGAAATCCGCAAAGGTTTGCCTCTTTTTGCTGGCTTTGGAAATCACCTTCACCAGCATGTTCCCTGCTAGGGGAGCACTTCCTCAGCTGTGGCAAGAATTACAGCTCAGGCTGGGACACTGCACTTGATTGACATTGATTTAAATGTGTGTAGGATATCTGTGTGCCTTCAATCACCTCACGGGGAAAAGAAATCAGTTCTGAAAGGACAGCAAACTAAAAATGCAACATCACAAGATTATCAGTGGGACAGACCTTAGATATTACAGCATGTGAAGATCCTACAGCAAAAATCGAGCAAAACTGTTGTAATCCATGGACTATGCTGAAAAGAATTAGGTTTTATGTTTCTACCAAGATACACTATATAGAATGGAAGGGCATTTGCAATCTGCTTTACTTGAAAACACCTACATATTGTTTTGGTCCTCAGCACACTTACGTATCAGAACTTGCAGAATAACTCAGAGTCATGTACCGGGGAAGGCAAATCCACTGAAAACTTCATTTACCCCTATGTAGAACTGAACATGAGTAATTTAATTTTTCCTTACCCCGATGTAGAATTGAACATGAATAATTTAATTTTTCCTTCTTTTTCTTATCCCAACCACTAAGTGGAAGGGTGAAACTTCTTGCAGGAGAGTTTATTGTTGAGATACCCAACTGACCTTCTAGAAACTTTTAGTCTGCAAAAGGAACAAGAGTTTAGAGTGCTTGACTAATTGTGAATTGCAGAATTTAGAGGCAAATCTGACACTTGTTCATTTTGCAGTTTAATAATATGCTGCTCATTTGAATGTCTAGTGACATCCTTTAGTGAGAAGTTTTACAAGGAATACATTAGAGTAAAAATGTGTTAGTCATAAGGACCTATTAGGTGTGTGTATGGCCTACAAAGCGCTTTATGTCATATTATGGATATGCAATTCTTACTACCTGCTTTTCCAGAGCAAAAGAAATTACACATATACACCTTAAACTATTACAGTGTTTCTAAGGTGATTGTGCAGTTAGTGTTAAGCCAGTTCTCAAGATGATCATGGAAACTTCAAGTTCAAAACAGTATTTTTAAGTAATATTTTTTCCCCTTTTAAAGTAAGCATATGGACTTGTCTTTAATAGTAAAATGAAAATGGAGTTTTATTCCAGAAAATTGAGACCATTCAAACCATATTTTGTCTTTACTGTGTTCTGTTGTATGCAAGTATTGTAGAGAGTGCTCTCATTTGGACCTCCCTAATTTGAGTGCATATTATTGTTGGAAGTTTGAGCAATAACTCCAAAGCATCATTGTTCAATGAAGTTTAGCCAGTGCTTAGCATAATTTTAATTAATTTCAATGCCTTAGAGGTAGTGTAGAAACAAAAAATTTTCTGGTGTACTTATTTCTATTCTGAAAAGGGACAAAAAAACCCAAGCAGTTTTCTGAAATCGGCAGAGTATTTATCTTTCATTTAATGTTGCATTAACATTTTGTTGTCCTTGTGTAACCTCTGGAATTAAAACATTAGCATTTAAACATGTGAACATTTTCTATGTTTCCCCTGTCGCCTGCTGGCTACTCCTATTTTAATGATATTCATTTTCGATTGGTACGACAACAGGCCCACACTATTCCCCTCGTACGTGCTCTACACCTATAGCAGATCCACAGACTTTCTTCAAAGGAGCAATATTCCCTGCCATCATCGTTCTGTAAAGTAAAGGAATGGGCTTTCATGAGGGGATAGGAAGAGCTTCAAGTAAGAAATGTATTTCTAAAGGACTTAAAGCTCTGATTGATTACAAGCATGCAGTCAGCCTCATTCACCTCAGATAGTTTTTCCCAGTCTCCCACGATATAGAACCGAGGGGGTTTGCTGGCATTGTATGCATCCCGCTTTCCCACCCACTTCCTCTCCCGTCTCGCCCCAGCCTTCAGCCATGCCTTCTCCATAGCAAGACAGTTGCTATGGGAAGAACCCAGAACTAAATGCGGAGAGCTGCTAGTTAGCTGTAAAGTTGTTCATAAGGAACAGAAGTTACTTTGTTTTGGCTGGGCAGTTTTACACCTCAGAGCAAATTGCAACTGCTTTTGACATAGTTTGTTCTTTCCAGAAAACTAGTGTTCCATACCCCAAAGTTTTAGATGGCAAATCTAACAAAGTTAACTCAATTCTAGTCTTTCTTGGGGTACCTTAAACAGAGTGAAGTTTCTTTGTGTTCCCTTTCTAGATGGGTAAGACAACAAGTTTTTAAAAATGTGGTGGTTCCTAAATGCTAATGTTTGCCAGGTCTGCAACGTAGAAAGATTTTCTTTTTAATCTGATGGAAAGACAGAACAGACCTCTGAGTACATGGAAATGGAGCATTTCCGTACTAATCCGATTCATCACTTCAATTTGTAAACGAGATCTCCAAACTGTCAGCCATGTCTTTGTATTTACAAGAGAAATTTCCTTCATTTATTCAGAGAGCATTGCATGTCATTGTCATTACCACACAGTAGCCCCTCTGGGCTGACTTGAAAAGGTTCACTAAGCATAAAGCAATGGGAGTTCCCACAGAGGTTTCTGTCTTTCTCTTGGAAATGTATAATCAACTACTGGGCTGGATTACAAATTGGGTTGGTGCTTTTTATTCCCTGGTACCAAATTCAGGAGTTCTCCACTCAATATTCTCCTAAATGCTCTAATACAGAATAAATGCAAAATTTTGTAAGTGGAAGGTTGTGTTGTTAGTCTCTGTTTGAGTTTCTGCCATTAATAATGCAACATTGGATAACCAGTTCACCTGCTTGATATTGGAAGAATCTTTTCGAAAGCTTAAATTGCTGCTGTCACTTTCCTGGGCCAGAGAGGAGAACTTTTCTGCCGGAACTGATGTAACTTATTGTAGTCTTGGTGGAATTCTGATAATGTGAGCACCAAGATGTGGTACCACTGAATAAAAATTTCTGCTAGAATGGGCTACTAACAACTTTTCTTGGCCATTCCGGGCATCAGAAAGTCTCCGAGAAATTATTTTATGTTTACTTCAAACAATATGCATAAAATAATGCCATCTGTCATACTACCTTTTCCCTTTCAAATTATAAATCTGATTGTTGATTGGTTGGAAACAAATCTTTGTAATAAAAGACAAATGGAGAGAAGGATCAAGTGGTTTGAGGAGGAAAGATTAAGCAAACTGTCATTGTTGTGAAGGTTGAACATAATACCACCTACGCACTTCCAATGGTTTGGTAGTCACGTGATGCCCGTGAAAGAGCCAGTGCTATTCCAGTTTGAAGGGAGAAACCCCCTGTTTCTGGAGTTACTAACCAGGTGGCTGGTTGTCTATGTTGGCGTCTGGAAGAAGCTGTTTGTCTTTGAAATAATATGGGGTTTTTGGCTTCCAGGAGGAGTTCTGTTACCCAGTGGAATGTCTGGCTCTGACAGTGGAGGAGGTCATGCACATCCGTCAGGTGCTGGTGAAGGCAGAGCTGGAAAAGTACCAGCAATATAAAGATGTCTACACTGCTCTCAAGAAAGGAAAGGTAGGGCCAAGTCTGTGGAGGCTCCAAAGGTTACTGAGGGAGGCCAGTTGCACAAGCTTCCCATTTACACATTTGTTTCTTATCCTGTATTGGAAAGAAGAGTTATCCAAAACTCCCCCTAAATATATAACACATGGGTCAGCTGCCTTGAAGTATGTGCAGAAACATGAAAACTTTTCATGGAAATACTTTGTTTGTTTAGATTGTCTATAAAAATGCAGTAGCATTTGCAATTATCACAGTGTATCTGTATGTGTCCATTTAAAACTTCATTGACTGAAGTGATTTCTGTCCCCATACCTTCTGCAGGATTGGTTACAGATAGCAGTAGGAAACTGCAAGTTCTTCATATATGAATCCTTACTATTAAGCATAGAGGAAATAAAAGTCTTCAGAGAAGTCAGACAACATGTGACCCCCAGAAGGAAGTTTAATATTAGAGACCTATTCACTAAGGCATTTTTTTTCTGTAAACTGCAAATTGGTACTTACCAGTGGAAGCAGCGCCCTTTTCCCCCACTTTTGACTTGTGCTTCTTTAACACCTCCAGCAAGTGTATTTTGACTTTGCTGTGTATTTTACCTACAGGCCTACCTGTCTCTAGTATGCAGATTTCTTTTAAAAATTTAATACATTCAAGGCAGAGGAACAAGAATCTTAGATTCAGCTGTTGCCTATTGTCATGATATATAAAGCTTAATAATGAGCTTTTATCAAATCTCAAAGTAAGTTGATGGTTTAATTAATTTACCCCTTCATAAATATATGAAGATAAAATTCTGGACCTTCTTTTCAATATCATCTTAGAAGTATGAACCCCAGAACTGGATGTAGTAGTACAACTGTGATCTTGCTGATAGCAACTGGTACATGAAGTCATCACTGTGTGTGACTTCGCCTAACACTGTGGATTCCTCTGTTCTTCTTTTAGCTCTGCTTTTGCTGTCGAACAAGAAGGTTTTCTTTCTTTACCTGGTCTTACACTTGTCAGTTCTGTAAGAGGTAAATATTTAATATGTGTTAATAAATGGGTACCATTTCAGAGGGAAAATTATTGGTTTATGCATTAGAAACCCTCAAAATTTTCTGCTGTCTACTGTTGATTGGGTTTATTTCTGTAACAGTCTATGTTAAAAAAATCCAAAACTGTGCAAAAATATTTCTTTCCTAAGTGACAGAATTGCTTCCTTGGACTGAAACTTTTGACTGAAAGTGAGGGAAACACTTATTTGTTTTTTATGCTTATGGGAAAGAAGTTGGAATTTACTCAGACTCCCCAGTCAACAGTTCCACAACCTCTGTTGTTGGGGAAAACATTTCAAGGCAATTTACCTTCTGAGTTATTTTTTTTAAGTATTGGGATGGGGGAAAGGGAGAAGGAATCATTTGCAGGCAAAATTGTAGATTTTTAGTTGAACAGTGAGACAATAAGTCAGGAGATCTATGTAACCACTGAATTAGTGTCTCACTTACCAAATGAGGTTTCTTTAGAGGAAAAACAGCTTATTTTTGGTTTTTTTAAATTTATTTTTTAGTTTAGCTGTATTTCCTGTTTAGTGTTTCTTCCTTCTTTTGGCTTCATGTTCTGATTTGAAGTTATTATGTCGAAGAAGCCTTAAAAATGAAAATGTTTGTTTAAGGGGAGGATGGGGGAGGATTTTAACTCCTGAAAACATTTATCTCTTATCTCTATTTTTCCTAGTGGATTGACTCATGCTCTTTTTTTCTTACACAGGCCTGTATGCTCACAGTGTTGCAAAAAAGTAAGTAATGAACTTACGGTTAGAGCCTTTCTAAAAAGCTGCAATCTTTGTAATGATGCCGCATGTTCCTTCTGTTTTCAACAGATGCGGTTGCCATCAAAGCCATACTCTACTCTCCCCATCTTCTCACTGGGACCTTCAACCTTGCAAAGAGGAGAAAGCTTTATGAGGCCAGAGAAGCCCTCTACCAGTCACCACCATTCACTGCGGAGCAGGTGAGAAACAACCCGAGCTCACTTGTGTCTGTTGCGAATTCCATACGAGGTTATCAATCGTTAAGATGCTGTCTACCTATCTGGTAGTTGTCAATGTCTCTAATGCTTGTGGTAACTCTTCTGAAGCCTGAAAAGCCAGGTGTCTTCTACTTCTTGCTTTAATTTACAGAAATAGCAACACTAACAGTGTCTTCTTAAACGTTTTTCACATTACAGTTGAAAAATATTATGAGTCTGGGACAACTGTATTTCTGTAGTACCTCTGCAAAAATATCCTTTATGTGTGGTGTGAAGGAGATAAATCTCTCAGGCTAGAATCACACACTGAATGGGAATTCAGTGATGTCTTGTGCACAGATTTACGTTTTTTCTAATTTTTCTAATTCAAATTTTCACAATTTTTTTCACTTTGATATTATCAAATTATCTGTTGGTTTTATGTCTTATACACAGATGGTTGTCAAAGCTAATCCAAGAAATTAAATATGAAAGAAATGCTTCTTTTTGAGGGAACCTAATGGACAAACCCTCTGCATTAATCACTAGTGCTAAGATGCTGTGTAGATTAGCCAAAAACATCATGTGTTTTTAGTTATTAGTAAAGTTGGTTTTGACAGATTGTAAACAGTACACGTGCCCTGCAGTGTTGCCAGTTCAGGCAGAAGCTGTCCTCTCCAGTATTTGTTCTCCTGGTGTCATTTTTGGGACAGAAGAAAGGAAAATTTAAATCCAGACCTTTCTGATGTGCTAAAATGAATAAAATGACAGATGCTGCTCTTTTGCCTTTCAGGTTGACCTCAAGGTCCAAGTCTGTGGATAAGTCACATGAAGAGTTTCCCAAAGAATTAATGGAGGACTGGAGCACAATGGAGGTTTGCGTGGACTGCAAGAAGTTTATTTCAGAAATCATCAATTCAAGCCGGCGCAGCCTATCTCTGGCCAACAAGCGAGCCAGATTAAAAAGGAAAACGCAGTCCTTCTACATGTCATCCCCGGGAACCTCCGAGTACTGCCCCTCCGAAAGGACTATCAATGAGATCTGAGCCGTGTGCCTTTTTCTTTGCTTTTGTCTTCATGAGGTCATCATCCATGGGCAAGGTCACTGAAAACGGATTATCAATTCCCTTGCTTCGTTTCACTCGGCTGGCTTGGATTTGCATTAGGTCACAGGATTTCCTACTCCAGCGGTTCCCGGAGACACAGGACGCTATGCTTAGATCTGTGCAGAATGATGCAATGGGTCAGCTGCTCGCACTGGAAGAAAATCAATAGTTTGAAATTGTTGCCTCTTTTGTACGTGTGCGTCGAAACTAGAAAGCCTTTTCTTGCTTTCAATCTTTTTTTAACCATGCTTTGAATCATTTTTCAGGAGATGAGATGAAAACGTGTGTTTGGTGGGGAACCAAACCTAACCAAGTGTCAGTGTTAGCACAGTAGCAAACAGTAAGTCATACGGGCGCTACCACCCTCGTTGTGCTCACGTCCTAGTTGAAACAGCAGAGGGTTGTATCGCACACCAGACCCCGAGTGTGAGCGGCTCTGGGTAAAACCATCTTCCTTGGAACCGTTTCAGTTGCTCTGAGATCAGGGTTCAGCACAGGGCTCTACAGTGTCTGTGTCCTGGGGCAAAGCAGGCGACAAAGCTCTTCACTCGTGTGGTTGGCCATACCCCCGAGCTGCTGTAACTTTTTAAGCCTTAGTGTACTTCTAAGTGTCTCCTGAGCAGGTTTTAGTAGTTTACTTTCTATCTTGAATGTATGATAATGACTACTAGTAGCAGTGAATTTTAGTAGTAGAGAGAGTTGTACAGTTTATGAGGAGGACAGGAAATAAGGGAGGCTTCTAATTTTAACTGAATACCTGTAAAGTTGTTCTTGTGGTTACTCAGAGAAAACAGTGAGTAAGGTGTAAATTTGTATTATAATGGAGCACACAGATACTGCTATAGTTCTGTCTGACAGCATATCCACTAGTAACCCCATTTTTTCTGGGGTTTATAACTTGGCTGTAAAAATTCATGTTCTGCTGAAATTTGGGACAGTGCTGTCTCAGATTGGGAGCGACCTCTTTTTTCCTTTAATCTTTTCTTTTTCATTCTTTTCCCCTTTCTAATTCACTCACAAAACCGTGCTAGACTAGTTGTTTAGAAGTTCCAACGATGTTACATCAACTGACATCTTGTGCTTTTTTGTACTTTTTTTTATATTCAAATTACTTTTTTTTTTTTTTTAATTCATGCATAGCCAGGGTTTAGTCAATAATTTGGGGCCAGAGCTTTTTGGTATTTAAAACAAGCTAACATAGCCAAGTTATTGATACTTGAAAATCAACTACTGTAACTTTTTCATAAATTTTTAATACCCTGGGGCATATTTAATATCTATATAGCAGTGTATTATAGAATGACATAGCAGCAAAGTGTCAGATCTATTTATTAACATTTCTATACTTCAGATTAATGAGAGATACCTCAGAACTGCTCCAAAGTAGCTGGGACTATATTTCTATAACATGATTTTAAAAATATATTGATCAAAACAGATTCCCCTGTCCACAAAGCCCAAGAGGCAGACTGCCCCTCCAGCCCTGGCAAGGCACAGTGCTGAGGTTGGGAGGCACCAAGGCTGGTCGGCTCCAGTGTGGTAGCTGGGCTGCTGCCTCACTGCGGGAGCCTCCTGCTGCCCAGGGGAGCGAGGCTTCCCCTTCGGAGTCTCTGTGCATGTCACACTGCAGCCTTAGGGGCAGCCGGCCATGTCATCTCTTCTAAGCTGATTTGAAAAGCACATGCTCTGTAAACCTTCCCAGGGACTCTTCCATCCCTATTTTTCGTTAAACACCCTCTTGGAAAATGAGAATTTTTGCATATGCAGGGCTTATTGGAATAGTTTCTAATTTTTTCTGAACCAATGCAAACAGGAAAAGCAGGGCTCAGTGCTAACTCTCCCTCATAGCTGTCCCATGTAAAGTCAGGTGTCATGGCCCTCTCCTCGGGATACCTCTGGAAAAATGTCTCGCATGTTAAAGCACCTAAAGTACTGGCATGAGATAAGTATGTAGGATTGCAGAAAGTGAGCAGCAGAGACGGGCTGATGGGAAAGGTTCTGCTGTTGCTTGAAGGGTCTCCTGTCTTCAGTCACATCAGCACTTTTTCTTGTTTCTGTGCCAAAACCAGGCAGTGTGTTGGCTGCACAGTGCATCAGGGAAACTAGACTGAAAGAAATGCAGGAAATCTCACTTTGCATCTATGCTGTTGTTGTTGTCATAATTTTCTCATGGAAATCCTCTAGCCACCGTCACTCAGACCTCTGCTCACAGTCCTGTTCTCTGCTGTCCTCAAGCCACTGAGGTGCAGAGTATCCAGCATGTTTATCTTCCTCTTTGAGAGGAATTTAGGATGTTGTAGAGCAGGCAAGATGAAGGACTAAGTAAATCCTGATTGTGCAAAGGGAAATGAGTCCTTCATGCCTGTGCCCCCCTCCACCTTGGCAGTGTTCAGGGGTGGCTCTGGGGCAGCAGCAGAGCCTTGCAATTGTGCCTTTCCGGGCTGCCCAGCAGTCCTTGGCTCAGGCTGGGCTCAGCTATGCTGGGCAGGGCACAGACACTGAACAACAACGCAGTGGTTGTACAAACTGCTCCCTGTTGCTCACACAGCGCTGCCATGCCTGGATAACCTCCCTTTTTCCCTGGAAAAAACCCTCCAGGCTGCTGACAGACTCTGTGGCAGACTCCAGAAAACACGTTGTGGAGGGCTGCCTCTCCCCTTGCCTCCCATCCCTTCCTCCCTGGCACAATTGCCCGCATTATCCCGGCATTTCATTCCGCAAAAGGAAAAGCGGCGGGTTGGTTTGTCACACAGAGCCTGAAGGAGCTCAGCTCCCTGGTTGCCTGGCTCTGCGGAGTGGGCTATTTTTAGCTTTCCATCTCGCTGCTTGCGCGAGCATCCCAAATCTACTGCAGCCATTTGCCTGCACACCCCGCGGTGCTGCCCAGCATGTCCTACTTACGGTCTGAACTTCACAGTAGCATCAGAGGATGAAAACAGAAGCTTGTAAATATCTGTAATATATTTATTAATATTTAGGAAATCTCCATCAATCATGCAGTGGGAATTGACTTTCCTATGTTGTTTTAAAAAAGGAAATGAGTCTTATTTATATGTGTGTTGGCTGTTATCTTTTAATAGAGTTGATGCTTTCAGCCCCCTAATGCAGTTTGCACTCAAGAGGCATCCTGGAGTGAATTACTGCTGAAACGAATGCAGAACTAGCACAGTGAGCTCCCTTCCATGAATTTTTAAATTATTTTCATTTTTTTAGCTTTATTAGTATGCCCAAGGTTTGTTTAAATATGTCATAGGAGACCCAAGGAGCTAAAAATGCCTCTGGCAGCATCAGTCTCGTTTTGTACGTGAACCTGGTTGTGGGGAATGCAAAACCAGCTCTGCCTCACGGAGGCGATGGAGGACGTGAGCAGGCCTTTGCTGCAGCTCTCAGACCTGATCTTTCAAGTGTTCATGGTGACAGTAGTGTTTTGGGAGGTTGTTGTGTTTTTTTCTCTTTCCCCATTACTTCCTTTATACATGGAGGAGTGTTACCTGGTGAAAATAAAATGCCTTTCCATTATAACCTTTGTCTGTGTTAATTATTCATGTAGAAGCTGATTTTAAAGGTTCTGTCTCTCTCTTTTTCGCGCTTTTATAATTTTGTAAAATCAGTCATGTTTCTTTTGGCAAAGAATTGTTAATGAAAATGATTGCATAACAGCTGAACACTGGCTGGGCTGCATGAAGGGATGGAAACATGTCCAGTACCCTTAGAATAGCAATAAAACTGCTTGTGTAACCCCAGTGATGTGATTTAGGTCCTAGTCATCATTTCCAGCCAAATCCCTCTGTTACCAATGTGCTGCTTCTTCCAACACTGGCAGGCTGTACCTGAGGCAGTGTGCTTGTCCTGCATGTGGTACAGGCTTTGGGAGATCTCCATCCCTCCCTCATCATTGGGAGAGAAATGGTGGCAGTCTTTTGGAAAAGTTTTTAATGGATTGGTTTGTTTTTAAACCAGAAGTGGAGACATTTTTATCACAACTATTACATTGTTCTCTCCCAAGCTTCCCTCTTTCCCCAGGCAAGTTCAGCATCAATCCCCTGGTTAATACTGGCTGCATGCTCTATAGGTTAAAACTAATTTAGAAGCTCCAGCTTTAAGCTCCTGATTGCTACCTTCATGCTTTACCTCATCTAGCAGCTCTGTACACCATTTAGGAATGTCTTTCTTACAAGCTCAGTCTCATCTGTGAAACAGTGACAGCACACAGGCATGAGGGAACGGTGCTGCAACTGGTGCTACAGCATATAGATTATGTTCATGTTATCAGAAAATTTTATACTATCGCCATGTTCATAACTTGGAGCTGCTCTGGTTTATTTCCTCTTTTGTATGTGTGTACCTTAAGGCCAATCTGAGAATGTTTATGAATAATGATTCCAGCTATAAAAACCTCTACTGTTGTTTCTGTCTGATTTTTACTACTGTGTTTCAGCTTTTTTTTTTTTTTTGGGTACCTGAGATCACTATTCACAGGAAATTTCCTGGCAGGAGAACCATGACAGAGGGGCATTGGCTCAGCCTGACGTGATACACAGACACAGAAACCCCTTCCTGGTGAGCGGCCTTTCATAAGCACTTCTTTCACGGCAGCTCCATTGAATCCTGCGCCCCAGTCCTCTCCTGCTGGGAGCTGAGCAGCACCCATGAATTCCAGCAGCCCATGACAGAGGCAGTTTCTGGCCCTCCCTGTGCCCACACTTTGACGTTGAAAAATCCCAGAGACGCTCACGTTCCTCAGTTGACCCAGCAGAAGCCATGAGCTTGTCCATGACCCATGTCCCTGGGTCCCCATCTGCAAAAACAGGGACTTCAGAGTGGCTACAACTGTTTAAAGAATTTTGAGAGCTGCTGCTGAAGAGCTGAGTGTTCAGTGTCAGAGCTGAAAGGGTCCTGCAGTGCTTTCACTACTTGAAAGCAATTAGCACCCCTTCCAGGTGAAAGGAATTCCAGAGAGTTGAAACTTCATAAGCAAAGACTTGTGAATGAATTTGACCATGGTAGATCTGCACTCAGCAAATGTCATGGGGCATTATCAGGAGATGGAGCTAAATAGGTATCAAGTAGACACGGCCAATTTTACACAACAGTAGCTTAGTTTGTTTATTTGCACTAAACTAGAATTCAGTAACTTTCCAGTTTCTTCTCTGGTTGGGCTGTTTTGCAGCAGCAGTGCCTGGCTGAACTGAGTGTCAGATACACAGGTATTCTGTCCTGAAGTAACAACCGGTTGTTGAGATGGTTTCTGTAGAATATTTCTAGAGGAAGCCCTTTGGAACAGACCCTTTGGAATAGACCTTACTATAGCTAATTAAAAAACACATTTGTAAGCAGATAGACTTCCAAGGTGCCAGGCTACTACTGTCAGCTCACAGCTGAAAAAGACCTGTTTCATTATTGACATTCAGTTAAAACAAAAAGTGCATCCAGTATGAAAAAAAAAACATAATCTTCATGCCTCCCATGCTGTAACATTTCCACAAAGCTTCAGGTCCTCCCTGCATTTCTCTAACCAGTCACATCAGTGCTTAACAGTGGGAATGAGCAATGCTTTGGCTTTTGCAGGACAGGCTGTAGGCGAGACATTGCAACGTGGGATTGTTAAACTGGATTTCAGAGGCTGCTAAATCTAGAATTAAAGGACATGGGCATGAGTTGACGCAACTTCTGCAGGAGGCTGGCTTCCACAGTTCAGTGGAAATGAGCACCAGTTAAGCTGACACAGGTCTCTAGAGAGGCAGCCAAGGCCTAGCTTCAGCTTAGACATTTAAGATGAGCATGTTTCTATTGAAGGGGCTGGTGGTTACATTACCTGTGAATCAGAAAGCAAAACAAAGATAGTGAGTAGTGTATTTGAGCTTTATTCTGTTAAAGCTGGTTCCCCTCCCCAAAGCCCTTCTTTAATAAAGGAAAACCCAAACAGGAGATGCACTTTTTGGACATGAACAAAGCACAAACCCTTCCCCTTTGAACTTCTCCTGCTTCTGTGCTGTCACTGTGCATGTACTGTCTGTGTGGCTTCAGGTACATCAGGGGCATCAGGTCTAACAGAGAAAGGCAACAGAATTGTCTTCTTGTTTTCATGTTATGTGGTACTGAAATGCAATTTCATGTTTATGCATTACTAATAAAAAGTTCTTGGATATTACTGCATTACTCTTACTTTCTTGAGCCAACTGTAAAGTTGACAAACATCATTTCTTACAGAGTACAGCGGGCAAGGGCATGTTCCACATTTGTTTGGCCAGGTAGAGCCCTGAACCTCAGCTGCTGCAGATCTTAACTAGGTCAGAGACAAAATTATAGTGAAGTAAAAAGGAAGGTATTGCACCAGCAGGACCTCAGATTAGGACCCTTTCTGATCATTTTACTTGCAGGTGCCTTTCATTTAAGTGAGAATCACACCTCAATCACCTCAGCTGTGGAAAAATGAAAAAGACAGGACTTGTGCTTCACAAAAATGCCTTTTCATTGGACGAATCCATAGTGAACGCATGACCTGCTTCACGGAGCTGCAATTAAAAGGCTTAGCCTATAACCTGCATGATCCTGACAGGTGGCGAGTAGTGTCAGTGGGGTAAGAAGATGGTTTATTAGATAAATATAGTCTTATTTACAAATCAAGGCTAATAGTTTTAGATGACTCTTTGCTGCTTTAATGCAAAATGAAGCAGCTGCCAGTCCCAGATGGAGTTACCAGTCCACAACCAGAGGACCCCTGCAGAGCTTTTGTGATGTGTGGCTTATAGCAAGCTTCAGGGAGCCTGGTACTGGGTCCTGCTGCTCACCCAGCACGGACTAACACAAACAATTTTTCTGCATCCTTTTCTGAAAAGCAACAGCCAATTTTATATTAAAATAGTTACACCCAGAAGTGTTTTTTTAAACTGTGCATGTCATTTACTTCAGATAGCACCATAGCGTACATAGACACTTCACAGTCCTGCCCTTCACGGCTCACAATCTAGGAAGGTGCAGTAGGAAGGGTGTTACCTACCCACTGCTCCACCTGAAGATTTGAATGAAAAGGGTCACATCAAGGAATGTCACTGGCCATACTCGGCGCTACTTAATTAGGTTGTCAGATACATCAATGCCCAGTATGTGCTATACTACAATTCCTGACACGCCCCCCCTGCTGCAGATCAGTGCCTTTGCTTAAGTTAGGCAAGTCCTTCAAGAATACACAAGTTTCACTGGGATTGCCTGTTGTCTCAGCAAATATGATCCTTCCCCCATCGCGCCTGCTGACCTGATGGGGGAAAAGAAGTAAGACGCGTGGAGGAGCATGGAAGATTCCCACTGGCACAAGGGCAAATCAGGGAAAAGATTTAAAGGACAGTTTACACAAAATCAATAAATTACACACCAGACCATTTGACTACACTGTTTTAAGTTAGTGCCTTTTGTTGTACACACAAGCCTGTCTACACACTAGCATGAAAACCATCAACCAGAAACCAGAGTTCACCTCGAGTTTGGTATCTTCAACATCTTAAAACCCTTCAGAGCCAAGAGCTAACATGCCCCATTTGCCACATTCTGGGAACCACCGCTGCCTCAGGAACCAACTCTCCCCAGCTTCTTGCTTCCACAGTAGGCACGTGCAACACAGCTACAGGTACTGGGCAGGGGGAGCAGCCACATTTCCAACCAGTCTGAAGACCTGATATGCCACCACTAAATTCTTAAGCCACCCCCTGCATCACAACCCTCTATACTCCCTTCTCCCTTGAATTGCAACCCAGCGGCCGAGAAACTCTGAACTGCCAGCCTCAGCTTGAACCACAGCAAACAACCTCCCTCTCCCAACTCACAAAGCTGAACTTTAATTCTACTTTCAACTCCCCAAGTGCAGAATTCTTATTCAAAGTGGCACTTGTTACTATTAATCAGCATGGTTATAAGCACTGAGCTTTCTGCTTGGTCCCCAGCACCTCAAGATCCTTCCAAGTTAATGAGTGTTGACTTCACACCATTTCTGCTTGATATATTTTTTTCCTCCTGCGTGCCCTTTTCCTCCTGAATCAATCCCAAAAGCCACAATCCCTGCTCCCCACAAGCAGCCTAGCACTTTCCCTCACATGCAGCTTTCCACCTTTGACAGACACCTCAGTCAACGCACATGACAAAAAACTGACTTCAGATACATTTTTTAGCCATTTCCAGTGTAGAAAAAAAAAGTTGGAGGAGTTTCTCTAAGGAACCACAAAGATAAACAATTCCAAAGGCAGGGTGGTTTTTTTTTTGCCTCAAGGGTCAACTTGGACTATAACAGTCTAAGAACTTGAGTGGGAATTGAAGTGCAAAAACAGTGTTAAGCACAGCATACACAGCTACAGATCCCACTAGATCTCATGGAGAAGAGTCACATGATCAAGGGAGAATGATTGGAGCCTCATATGCAAATCAGATGGACAGAGAGCAGAAGGGTGAAACTGTCCAGGAAATCTCATCGAAAATTAAGAACCACTTGATCTGCTAAACACTGGAGCCCACCTGGTCCCAGTGTGACCACTGCTGCAAGGTCCCTTGTACACCCTGGCAATGTCCCTTGTACACAATGAGCAACCACAGGAAGAACAATAATCCCACAGATCCATAAGTGTCACCTCCCCCCTAAGACAAGGTAAGAGGCAGCAGCACTGTCTGGCAGTGGAAAAAGGCAGCTGGATGACATAACTGGCCTCCAGGAAAAATTAGTCTTTTTTCCTACCCAAAGCTTCCCCACTACCATTTAGCCAAGAGAAAAGCAGAAGAGGACTGAGCACAAGTAGGAAAGGTGCTGATTCCTGGCAAGTGGAGCAGCAGGCAGATTGGAAAACCGAGTGTCTAGGCATACAGCTCCTAAATGGGACAAAACGTGGAGCGAAAGCAGCCCAAAACCAAAAAAGTAATCCAGAAAACTGATGTGTAACTGGTGTTGACCCTATGGTGTGGCAGAGAAATTCAGACCCAGAGAGAGCCTATGGTGACTTTTCTGGGAAGCCAGCTAGTGCTGGAAGGTGCTAAACACAAGTCAGTCAGCCTTAAGACAATACCAAGCAAATATTTCACTTCTGATGCAAAAAGCAGCTCTAGGCAACTCTTCTTCCAAACCAAAGCAATACATGAACCTCTCCAAACACCTTCCTACCCTTGCTGACAGTCATGTTTTCATCACCTCCAGGAGGCATGTACAGAAATGGTGCAGCACAGGTTTCCAAGGGCACACACACTTTCTCAACTTTTCCTTTTCTTTTTTTTTGCAGAGTTCTGCCATGGCTGCACTCCCCTTCCTAGCAGAATGCCACCAGGAGCTAGAACATCTTCTGTGTTCCTTATCCAGGAAGTGGCATCACTCCTCTGAGAAGGGGACAACAACTGACCTGCACCAAAGCTATCCAGTGTATCTTCCAGAAACAGGCTGCTATCAGCCTTTAAGCTCCAAGTTTCTGTTACAAAATAAGAGGGGCTTTAGGTCCACATGAAAAGAGCAATGTAAATATCAGCTATTCATTTAATTGCTTTCAACAAATATACACATCTTTTAAAGTAGGCTTATTCATTAGGATATGTAATTTAGTTACACCCAAATTAAAGTTTAAATGAACCAGAATATGAATGCTGAAAATTCCCTTAAGCTACAGACACTTTAAAGTTACCAGATCAAAACGGTGACCAACATTTTACTCTTCTAGTTTTTTAGAAGTTACTCATGCTCTTGAACAGCTTCCTAAGCACGTGCTTACCACTTGAACGAGTAAACATCCTTGCAACATTTATTTCACTTTGTGTGCATACCAAAAAATAAGTTAAAATGCCCTAAGAGGGTTGTCTAAGAAATATATACTACATCTGGATCAAACATGACAATTTTGTAAACATCAGACAAGGCTAGGACCGTTACCAATATGTATTTATGCATGTTTTATAGGAAACAGTTTCTGCAATTACTGGAGTATTTTTCCAGATAATGAGAAGCATTTAAAATGATTCTAAAACCATTTTGTACCAATGTGGAAAAGTGTTGAAAAAATTCAGTTACAGAATGCACTCAAAGAAGGAGAGTTCATTTGGTTTTCTTGTACTTGTTTTTTCCATTCAGGGAATGAAAAGTTCCTGTTTATACCATTTGGATTTCAAATTTCCTGCTCATTTCTCATTTCAACTCTTCTGGTTATTGCATCAGTTTCTCCCTCAGTTAAGACATGATGTAAAGAGCAAGGACCAGTGGAACAGCAAGGTCTCTTCATTCAAGTAGCCTACAAGTACTCTTCTTAGAGATATTTTCCAGCACCTTCCAGGAATTACTACTCATGTCCTCATAAGGAGGGGAGGAACTAGAACAAGTTAATAAATAAGAAAATAAATTATAACTTTTTCCCTACCAAAAAAACTATTTTAGGTTATTAACATCAATAGAAACTTTATCTTTGTTTGGATACAAACATAAGAGGTAAAGTATCTGGTGCCACGTTCCACAGCACATTTAAACAGCATAAGTGTTAGTTCCATACAAGTTGTAGCCTTTCGGGATGATCCTCTAGATAAGTATCTAATGCTACAGTATCATGTTCTGACTCACGTAGTTCCCTTTAACTGGTCATAAGACACTATCACATTATAAACCAGACAAACTTCAGTGCTCTAGGGCCTATCAGCCCTTCACAGAACAAAAATTCACATGGAAAAAACCCTTAATACCACACATGCATTCTTTTCAAGTTTGAGTAAGACAAACTGAGATCGTGCAAATATAACATACTCTCTATCTTTGTTGAAAAAGGCACATTTAGGCTGTCTTAAATGTGCTTAATGTTTTGTTTCCAGTGTTAAAAATAAATGGTTTAAACGAAAAGAGCATCTGCAGGAGGTCAATTTAATCTTCAGTAGGCAACAAGAGCTGCTGTGGAGATGACAGATGAGGTTACTTGTCCACTGATCCAATATTCTTATAAATATACAAAACCTCTTCAGATCAGCCTTGGAAGGGAGCAGTCTGCAGAATAAGACTTTTCTGTCAGTTACGTGGTTTTACTTGGTGAAACCAAGCATTTGGTTTTATTTTTCCGTTGAGGCTGCTGCCATGGCTGGTTTCATGCCCTCGCGCGTTGACTTCAGCTCCTCCAGTTCTGTGTTCAGTTTGCTGATCACCCACTCCAGGGCATCCCGACCCTGCCAGAAAAAATACTGGAATTCAGGATCAGAACAGATACACCATCACTGCTCATGTTCATATAGTTTTTCCTCTGTCAGACATGGGACTTGTTTTAAAATTAATTTCATGCCCTGCATAATTTGGTACCGATTATACCGATAATTTCTTACCATCTTCTCATGGAAACTTCACGAAAAGGCATTTGTTTAATCCCTAAGACAGAAGCTCACTACTGTGAGCTCCCAGTAGTACATCTAGGCAAAAAGCCTAAATCAGCAGTTAAGTTTCCTTACCTAAGAGGATCTCTGTTTTTACTGTTTGCTGCTCCCACCACTGAAAGAATATTGGTAGATTTACAGCAAAATCTAGATGTTGTTTTCAGATTCATTAACCAAGTTATGTGGACTGTTTTTGAGAAGATCCAGGACAAAGAAAGTCTTCCAAGTCTCTCTGAAGTAGCAACTAAGTGATCTGATATCTGTCAAGAGTTCAGAAGTGGACTCACACTGAATTCTATATTCATGCACAGCAACATTTCAGCACCTAAACCGCACTAATTGAGAGACTACAGTTGCACATTTTATATCAAGGTATGATCTTTCTCTGTTCAGTTCTCAGAATGGGAGTGCCCCAAAGCTATGAACCGACAGCCACTGCTTTAGTAAGAGCTGGAGAACCCAGCACAATGAGCCTCTCAAAAACCTTTTACCTTAAGAAGACCCTACAGCAGCTGCATCCCAATGACCACAAAACGCGGCCAGCTGCACAATGAAGCCAAAAAAATAAGAAGTACTTTAACTAAACAGAAGTGCAAGATTTCAGAGCTCTGCAATCAGAATAGCATCTTTTGCCAAAGCAAGCAGATGGGATCAGATCAGGAAACCACTTGGCCTCTTTTCACTTAAAGAGAGGTCAAGAGACATTCACCTCTATTACTCTACTAAGAATAATAAGTATGAACAGTGGAGAGCAGCAAGGGGGAGGGAGCCACATGGCTCTGGCCAAGTCTAGAGTTCTGCAGATAAAGGTTTGAGCCCCAAAAGTCCTAAGTCTTCACGAGAGCAAGTCTCAGTATTCAGGCCCTCTGCAGAGATTGATAGAAAGGAGGGGAATATCCTTCTCCACACACAATTTTGTTCCACACTGTGATGTACTCATTTTGTTGCATGCATTGCAGGTGATAAAGTGCACAGAAACCTCATAGTCTCCAGAACCTGCTGTTGTCTTTTATGAACCACTAAGCACAAACAAGAATCTGCATAAGCAGCTTTGAAAACCTAAGAAAAAAAAAGTGTCAGAACAACACACATATACTCTTGAAAGATTTTTTTTTCAGGCTAGAAACATTACTCTGGAATAATATCAGAAGCCCAGATCAAGGCTGCAAGGTGTAACCTCTTAAAAGAAATAAAGTTTTACTAAGAATAAGAGCATATTTATCTCAAGCCCTAACTAAGCTTGGTGAAGAGCTGACTCTGTTTCTCTTCGGGTTTTCCATATAAATGAGAATAACCACTAATTGTTACATCTGCACTGGCAGCCAGTCCTTAGACTGAGAAAAGTCCTGCAGGTATCAGAATAAAGTGCTCAGCTCTCAGTCAAAGCTCATAAAGGGAGATTCAGCTCCACCCCAAATTACCTCAAGAACTGGTATGTTTAAGTTAACTGAGTTCAAGATACACCTTTATTTACTAATAATATTGAAGAAAGCATAATTTAAATTGTCTGACTGAAACATGGGTTGCTGAAAAAGACCCTAGAAGGGGATGATTTAAGTTCTGAGTTCTTTCCATTTGAGCATGAAAGCAGGTTCTTTGGCAGGTGATAACTTCCATCTTCTCCACACGCTGTGCAAGACCTGGGAACACCAGCAAAGCAGGCATAAAACTGCCCAGACAGGCAGGCTACCGCATAGCAACAAGTCCTAACTAGCCGTGAATTAGCTGAGAGGAGTGCTCCTAAGGAAAAATCGGGAAGGGGGGGGGGGGCGGGTTGGGGAGAGAAGAGTAAGCTGGCAGTAAGCTGGCATTTGGACATCTAAAAGTCAGGTTTAAATGTCCTCTCTGAGGTGGCACAGGCACAGAGAACTAAGAGAGACAGCAACAGCTTAGATGTTATATTTGTCTAATTGCACAAAGAAGACTTTGTCAGGAAGTCAAACATCCCTGCCACAGAAAATGTGCAGTAGAAAAAGGCTGAGATTCTTTTCTGGCCCCGACTATGAAACAATCATGTCATTGTGTTTTATTTGATATCTCTGCTGATAAGACTAAATGATTTTTAAAAATCCACAACATTCAACTGGAGCACCAAGATATTTCCTTCAGTTTTTGAGACTACACAGGTCTGTGTATGTCCTTAGACTCACATATACTGTATGCTATATTTTGCAGCTAAGAATAAACTCGTGATACTGGCAAGGAAGATTTCAGGAATATTCTGCATAGGAAATGAAGTTAGAAATCTCAACCAGATGCAAAGCCTCCAAGTATTATAAAATCATCCAGTTATCAGAAAAAATCTGACAGAGGACTGGTCTATAAAATTTCATATTGTACAGGTTCTCTAGTAAGTCATTAAGCAAGCACATTCATAACCAGGCATGCATATTGTATTAGTCATTATTGCATATGTCAGCAGCATGAAGTGTCTGGCAGAACGAGCAGCTGCATATGAAGATTTGTTGGTAGAGCTTAAGTGACTGATAAATGCTGAGCCTTTTTAGTTGATGTTTTCCAGAAAAACAGCTTAGTGGAATGAGAACTTAAAAGCAAACACTCATGGCGTACACAGATCTCAAAGTAAGCACTGTAGAAAGCCCTACTTTCTTAACTAGGAGAAGCAGCATAATGGATATTTTTTTTTTTAAGAAATCTTATTAGTTGAAGCACAAGCCAATACAGGAATGACAAGGACAAGCTACACTGACTAGTAGAAGGAAAACAATTTGCACAGAGGTATCACAAGAGGCAAGTACACTCAATTCTCTCAACTCTGAAGTCAGATTTGTTCATAGGCACATCACTGCAGGGACACGTCACCACCGAAATGAATATAACTACAAGACCAGTGAAGAGCAGGAACAGTCTGGCACCCTGACAGCTTCAAGCTTTGTACAGATTTCCTCAGAAGGGCAACAATATTCCTCAGGCATAAGAAAAGCAAATACAATTCTGTTATGCAAAAGACTACCCCTGTTAGGCAACCTGTTTCAAGAAATCAGTTTTATAACCTAAGAACGCAGTTCTGTTTCATAACGCCAATTCCACTCACTAACCAATTTATTAATTTCTTTGGGTACCAGATTTATTTACATGCTGAAATCACAGAAACTAGGACCAGATCAAACACTTTGTGGACGGATTCCTTCACATCCCCGGTTGTCTGCAGTCGTCATCATTCCACTTTCAAACCACAAGCAAGACTGTGTGGCACAAGACATGGCTGCAGCAAGTTGGTTGTCCAGTGGCATAAGCAGAGGTTCATGGATCCAGTCTGGATTGGACCTACTCTCACCCTCTACAACTGCAGTGTAATGAATGTCTGCCATTCCTGTATGCAATGTGTGTAAAACATACATGCAGGTTAACTTATGAAATCCGCGTGCCAACAATCCATGCACATATTTGCTAGAAAGCTGAAATGCTGTACCAAGAAGAATGCTGGCATTACCACTAGTTAGTACAAACTGTAGGTGTGGAGAACTGTTAGCTTAGAGCGCTTTCAGAATTTTGAATTATCCACTCAATAGCATCCCACCCCTGGAGTAACACAAAAAAGATTTACAACATATGGCAAATGATTTTTCCATAATCATTAAAAATAATAATGTGTCATCTGCCACCTCTACCTCAGAGCAAACTCTCAATAATTCCAATTTCTTCAGAAAAACAAAACATTTTTCAGCAACTTTCATGAAGTTTAAGAGGAGTGCTAAGAGCACAGAGGCACAGCACAGCATGCAAGAAGAGCTCGTAGTAGCACAGTAGGTTACTGGCTAGCAAAGAAAGGGCTGGTAACAGCAAGTACAAATTCCTGCTAAGTTAAAAATCTGTAGAGACTTTTCAGTGAAACACACAGGACAACAAAGTCTTTCTGGTTTGCAAGAAGCTTGTGAGCCAGCGTGTTCCTTGAAAATGGCAGAACAGAACAATCTTTAAAAGAAATTGAGCTTTCACACAGGCAATACCTGAACAGATACCAAGAAAAATTTACACTCTTTATCCAAGTTCAACAGAGACATGCAAATGAGACAGATGCCACGAGAGGAATTCAGACAGTGTTTCTAAGTGTGCCTAGTTGTGTGGATGTGCCAGCTAGCTGGAGCTGTGCCCTCCATAGACTTTTAAATGGAGACCAGATCAGGACAGAACTGTGATTTAATTGAAATACATTCCAGTAGAGAGCACTCAGCTAGGTAAAGGTAATCTTCAGTGTCTAGAAATGACTCATCATTCCTTCCCCACCCCCTGGTTTTAACATGTTTTCTTCTCACTTCAGGAGAAGCACACAGAAGGGTGGGAAATGAGGCTTTCTCCTCTCTGATCTAGTTGTTTCATGCCTCCTATAAGTTGGCTTACATTGTCTTGGTCAAGCAAAATCTTTCACAAGGACAAAGGGCTGGCCAAAGCACAGGCTCTCCAGCATAGCAGGAGTTACCTGGGCCAGATTCCCATTGTGCTGAGCTTCTCCAGCAATGCAGAGCACAAACTCAAATTCCAGGTGCACTCATCCTGCTGTTAGGCAGCAAGGCCTATGCTGCTCCAGCAACTCCATTTCTTCCCCAAACAACTACAGGACAAAGTGCCCAAGCATTCCCATAGCTCTGCCTGTGCAAGCACAAGACAGAGGAGTCAGTCTAGTGTTACCTAGGAGAGCCAGCACAGTCTCACCTCTTCAAAGAATATGCTTCTGCTTACACTTTATTACTTTCAGCCAAAGTCAAGGAGACAGCTCAATAACGGATAGTAACTAGAACTGACAAAGCAGCACAAAAAATATGCTGGCGTTAACTGATAAATCCAGATTATAAAGGCTGAAAGTGAAGTTACATTCTTTACTAACACTAATTCCTGGAAATAGGAGGTTAGTGTTTAAAAAGGTACTGCAGAAAAAAACCAAAACCCAACTAATAAAATGTGTATTCTATATGCAATTGTAGCATACACACAGAAGCTTGTTTGTTCTGCTGTGCAATTCTAGTTAAAAAACAAAGATTCAGTAGTGACACCTTTTCATACTGTGGGAAATTATATTCTACTTACTGAGGTCCTACAAAAACCAGTTGAAATGCTGTGCATAAAATTTAGATAATTTAAATACAGCATTCAACACACACAATCGACAATTACTATTTCAACAAAAAGAACAATGGAGTGGGTGGAGAGAGGGAGAGAACAGAATAAAGATGTACCTTTCTGGCATTAGAAGATATTGTGTTCGCCATTAAGCTTTCCAGATAACTGCTCAAGCTAATGCCTTTAACAGTAATAATTGCTTCTTGAGTTAGTACAGTTCTGTAACAGAATAAAGAAAGGTTAATACCTAAACTGAACTGGACTAACATAATGTCTCCTATCCACAAAGATGCACACAAATATCCTTACTTACTTCTCAGGGTTTTCAGGATGAGGCGTGTAAACCAGTCTCTCATCAACAGATACCAAGTTTGTGAGAGTAATCTTAAAAAGAAAACAAGAGCTGAAATCCTCACTTCCCACCTTTCGTTTTTCTGTTACCAGCAGCACTACTATAGTGCACTCAGTTTAGTGTCAGCAGTGTAAGCAGAATACAGAACTCAGAACACAGTCAATAAAAAGACCTATATAGGGTGATGCAGCTTCTCCTATCCTCGATCTAATTACATCAAAGTTCCTGTTCACATTTGTACAATACACAAGCAGCTTTCTCTGAATCTCAAGTCTGATTTATGGCAAGCGGTTTAGAGAGGCTCTTCAAGACCAAGACCACCATACCACTACTTGGACTATACAGAAAATTAATACCCATGAAAGAGAATGCCTCTTGTACAGAGACAAGGCTCTCCTACGGACAACCCCATTTTATATCTGATAGTTATGAGTTCCGAGGATACCAAAATATAGCCTAATACTTCATTTACATTTTATGAAAAAAGGCATTTCACATTGAAACTTTTGTTGTAATGGCAGTGTAATGTATAACAACTCATTGATCTAAAAGTCAAACTATTTTACACGCATTCCAAGAAATACTTTTGCATTAAAAACAGAATCACAAATGTTTGATCCTGAAGTATTTAAATTTCCTATTTGTGAGAAGAAAGAGAGAAAAAAAAAGTCATCTAAGACACTAAGATACAGAAATTATTACCTTCTGATGAAAGATGCAAACACATTTCTAATCTAAATGTTAAGAGCAAAACATCTAACTTCCAGAACTAATTACCAGAAACTTTTTAAGCCACAACTCACATTAGTTGAGCAAAGCTCCATCTTTTTTTCCACTGGATCTACCACAGAATGTTCCTCAATGTAAGTCAGAGTTCTACTTGTTCCTAAAATCTGAAGGTAAAAAAAAAAAAAAGTAAAGTACCAAAATTAAACAAACAAACTGAACCTTGAAACTCATAAAGGCCATGTTCTCAGCGACCCCAAATAAATCCAGAGTAATTCTTAGATACCAGACAACCGTGACCTGTGGCAAGACTTCACCCTGGTAGATTGTATCAGTCCTACAGCATGGCACAGACCAGCCCGGGAGGCATTTACAGACATACATTATGGGCATAATAAAGTTTACAAAGTATTCTCATCACCAAGAATGCTACTTATAGCCTGTGTGACACCTGTGGATGACATTTCCTAGGGATTAAGCTTTTACTCTGAATTCAGCTCCAATTCAGACAATGACATAAAAGTGTACCACACCCTTGATAAAGCATGAAGACTATGAAAACATACGGCTTTTACAATACTCGGCAATCCCCACTCTGTGCTGAGAAGACGGTGACTGTGCAACCTCCCCTGGTTATCAAGGCTTCTGTCAAGGACATCTACTCCTACCACACATGGATTCATTGGATTGGGGTACTTCCTCATAGCAGCTTTGATCACTGTATCCCAGGGATGTCTGTAAAAAGAAGGGGAGAGAACGTTTATAACTATTTTGTATTCGATCACAAGTATTCAAACAATACTAAATCAGGATCTAGGTTGTGTAATATGGCACATGCTGTACAACTTTCTAGCTTCCAGAAGTCAGAATACAGTTATGCTTGGAAGGGCAATAAGAAAGTATTGACACACAAACAGAAAAAAAAAAATTAATTCTTCTTTCAGAGTGAAGTAAAGAATTATTAACCAAAAACTAACAGAAATGAGGGTAAGAGGTAACAGATGCTAATTGCTAAAAGTGACATTCCAATTAGGTGGGCAGAAACCCCTCACTGACAGGGCAGCTGCCCACAGAGATTGCTGAAATCTCAATTCATTCCAGAACTTAACCAGGAAAACAACCTGACCTCACACTTCAATTTGTCTTGCTTTGAGAAGAGGGCTGGACTAGATGACCTCCATAAATTCCTCTATAATTCTGAGCACACCAAATAAACTGAAGTGGAAACCATTAGCTTCCTATAGCAAAAAAGGCAAAGTGAAATTGAATTCGATAACAACAAAAAAAATTATCAAGAAGTTCAAAATAAAGAAACAGATTTTTAGAAACCACATCAGCTCACAGCCTTATGCCTGTACCTGTACTACTGCTCCCAGCAGTTTGTTAGCATGAATTACACTTATGGATACTCCTCTCAGTACAGAGCTGTTTTTATGAAACGAGTTTTGATAATCTCAAACCCCTGGGATCACAGCAGCCCTGCTATTCAAGGCTGAGCTGTCCACATCGCTCTTTTTCTTCTGAAACAGAGGAGGCTACAGAAATCATGGACTTGATCCACTACAGAAATTCCAGCCCTAAGTAGTTATTTCTATATTCAGAATAACTGACTGATCTGCAATGATAAGTTTATAGCCTTTAAAGGTATGTTTAAAAATTCAACAATTGGTATCTAACTTAAGAAAGATTAGGGGTGCCAACTTGTACTTAAGACTTGCACTTAGGGCCCTAAATGGATTTTATTTTTGACAACACTACTTTTAGTCTTAAAATAGACTGGCACAGAAGGGCACCAACAGTACAGCACTGCAAGAACAAACAGAAACTTGAAAAAATAAGTTCTTTTTCCAATAAGAAAAGCATTGGAAAGCTTTATTAGTGCAGGCAGGAAAAATAAGAGCCCTCCATTCCTACAGCAGAAAGGGAAGGATTGTTCCTTGTTATCTTCAGAGACTATTCATCTCCTTTAACAGAAGATACACAAACTGAAAATGTCAAATTTCTGTCAAGTGTCCCTGAGGGATTGAGTCAGAGATGTGATAAGGCTCAACAATATTTTATTAACCATTCAACTGAACTACCTACACCTCCACACCTTATGCTACAAGATGGAGGTGTTCTAATACAGATCTTGACAAGAAAATGACAAAAATAGCTTTTGCGTTCCCTAGGCGACAGATACTCATCTCAAACTCAGAAGCTGTGCCGTGCACTAGCAGCCTTTACTTCCCTCTGCCTGACATTTCATGTCAGAAGCTACAGTTCACTTACACCAGACCGATGATGAAGTTGAGCCCCAAACAACTACATCAGTGCTACGAATTTTGTTGACATAATTAAATAAGTTTAAAGCGACACATCTGGGATATTCTGTAAATATTTTAAGAACTGTCACCCCTGGTGCTATTCAGGCTTCCAAAATTTATTTTAAGACCCTGTAGTAGTCGAATCGGCGGTGGTGGTGGCATTCCAAGGGCTGCACCGGCACTGCATCCTCCACGTCTGCTCCCCGACACAGCCCGTCACACACCTGTTGATAATTTTCCGGGTTGTTCCCTCGTTGCACAAGGGTGGAACTGGATGGACAGGACCACGTCCAATGCAGAAAAGCACTAATGAGAAGGAAACTTACTGAGGGAACTGGCTGCTGGGCACCTCAGCGGGAGTTCCCGGCAGGTAAGGTACACAGCCGCCCTGTCCATACCTTTTGGAATATATCATCGACTACGTCAGGAGTTTGAGATCATTTTTTCTATAGTGTGAAAGTTATTTTTCCTTGAACACCCATCCCTCTACCAAGCCATCACGCTGCCGGGCCGGCTCTACAGCTCTGCCCTGTTGGAATGCTATTCCCGAGGTGGTGGAAGCCCTGGCGCGGGGTCTGGCCGCGCAAGAAAGAGCCCGAGGCGATGCAGGACCGGCACGGCCGGGGCCTGCCCGCGGCCTCCCCTCCTCCTCCTCCTGCGCCGCGCCCGCGGCATTCCCCGTTTCCGCCGTCACCCCGGCGGGGCCCGATTACGCCGCGTGGCCCGGCCTGGGGTCTCGCCGCGCCCCTCCCCCATCCCTCCCGCCCGGCCCCCTCACCCGAACACATGCTCCGAGCTCCAGATCTTCATGGCCGCTCCCGGTGTGTCCCCTCAGAGCCCGGCGGGAAAGGTGGGAAGGCGGCGGGAGCGGCTCGCGCTGGACCGACCGACCGACAGACTGACTGACTGACGGACGGCTTCGCGCGGCCCGGTGAGCGACAGCGGCCGGGGGCGGGGCGGGGCGGGGCGGGGCGTGCCCGGGCCGGCGCGCTCATCACGCACACGAGTCATCGCCCCGCCCCGCCCGCCGTGGAGGAGGAGGAGCGGCACTGCGCGTGCGCAAAGCCCGCCGCCGCGCTGGCCGGGCTGGGCTGTGGAGTCACAGCGTTAAGGAATATTCTGTTTTGGGTGTGACCCACGGGGGTCAGAGAAGTCCAACTGCCGGCCCTGCGCAGGACACCTCAAGAATCATACCATGAGCCTGAGAGCGTTGTCCAAATGCTTCTTGAACTCCGTCAGGCTTGGTGCTGTGACCACTTTCCTGGGGAGCCCGTTCCAGTGCCCAGCCGTCCTCTGAATGAAGAGCCTTTTCCTAATATCCAACCTAACCTCCCCTGACACAGTTTGCCCTGGAAAGGTGCAGCCTGAGAAAGCAGTTCTGCATTAGCATTGATTGACTGATCCCCCTGCCCCTCACAAACCTTCACCACCAGCTCCTTAGGACAAGAGAGACATGGAGCTCCTGGAGCGGGTCCAGTGGAGAGCAACATAGATGATTAAGGGTCTGGAGCATCTATCTCATGAGGAAAGGCTGAGGGAGGTGAGCCTCTTCAGCCTCGAGAAGAGATGACTGAGAGAGCAACCTGTCAGTGTCTAGAAGTATCTAAGGGGAGGGTGCCAAGAGGATGGAACCAAGCTCTTCTTGATGGTGTCAAGCTACAGGATAAGAGAACAAGCGAGAACTGATGCACGGGAAGTTCCACCTGAATATGAGGAAGAACTTCCTTACTGTGCCAGTGACCTCACACTGGAACAGAGCCTAGAGAGGTTCTGGAGTCTCCCTCACTGGAGATATTCAAAAACCATCTCGACACGATCCTGTGCCATGTGCTCTAGAATGACCCTGCTTGAACAGGGACGTTGGACCAGATGACCCACTGTGGTCCCTTCCAACCTGACCCATTCTGTGATTCTGTGAACTACCAGCATAGGAGTTTTGCTTTAAACATGCTAATAACAGCCATGGTTGGGGGGGACAGGCTGCCAAGCTCAGCGTGTGCGGGGCTGTGCCCAGGGGCAGAGTGATTGTTAAGGAATACAGCTGGTTTAGGTAGCTCAGTTTGTAAGCAGCAGATTGAGCTCTGGGTGAGAACCCGAGACAAGAGACCATGACATGCCAAACCTTTACTGGGCATGAAGACCAGTGGCAGAAGCCAGGTGAAAGGACACTGGGAGACACTAGGAGGAAGAGAGACTTGTGGGCAGCTAGGACTGTGAGGAGATAAAAGCCCAGGTGTTCCTTTGTTGGGGGTCCATCCTCAGATGCACCAGCTCGGGTTGTTTCTGTGTTACTGCGCCATGAATAACTTGCTTTATGGAACTAGACACCTGAGACTCTGTTGAGGGAAACCTAGGGTCGAACTGGTAAGGAAACCTGGTCTGACTGGATATGATGGGATGTGTGGGGAATCAAGTGGGGCAGCCGTGGGCTCACTGGAGCTGCCCACTGTGAACGGGCTCAGTCCCAGCAGTAACAGTGGCCTTGGAAGTGTGGCTGTCACAGTGTCGTGAACGGTCAGACTGGAATGTTTCCTCAACAGCGATGACGCCAAATGCCTGAGTTCACCTGGAGGACTTTGCACAGAGTAATTCTACAGCGAACACGTCAATATGAAATGCCCTACATAGTGGGGGAAAAACAGGACACGAGTTTTTCTACTTCCCATCACCAGGACACTGTCACAGGGTAAACTGGCCCCAGCAGTGGGGGAACCCGCCCTGCTGAGCGGCGCCAGCCAGGCTAGGCTGGGCTGGGCTGTGCCCTGCCACGTCACCCCTGCCCTTGACTCAGCAAAGGGATCTGGACAAGCTGGATAGATGGACCGAGGCCAATGGCATGAGGTTCAACAATGCCAAGTGTCGGGTCCTACCCTTTGGCCACAATAACCCCAGGCAGCACTGCAGGCTAGGGGCAGAGTGGTTGGGAAGTGGGCCAGTGGAAAAGGACCTGGGAGTGCTGGTCGAGAGCAGCTGAACATGAGCCAGCAGTGTGCCCAGGCGGCCAAGGAGGCCAATGGCATCTTGGTTTGTAACAGAAATAGTGTGACCAGCAGAACAAGGTAAGTGATTGCCCCCCTGTGCTTGTCATTGGTGAGGCTACACCTCAAATACTGTGTTCAGTTCTGGGCCCCTCAGTTCAGGAAGGACATTGAGGTGGTGAATCAGGCCTAGAGAAGGGCAACGAAGCTGGTGAAGATTCTGGAGCACAAGTCCTATGAGGAGTGGCTGAGGAGCTGGGTTGTTTAGGCTGGAGAGAAGGCTCAGGTGGCCGTATCACTCTACAACGACTTGGAAGGAGGTTGTAGCCAGGTGGGGATCGGTCTCTTCTCCCAGGCAACCAGCCACAGAACGAGAGGACATAGCCTTAAGCTGCACCAGGGAAGAGCTGGACATTAGGGAGAATTTATTTACAGAAAGAGTGCTTGGGCATTGGAATGGGCTGCCCAGGGAGGTGGTGGAGTCATTGTCCCCGGAGGTGTTTAAGGAGAGACAGGACGTGGGACTTAGTGCCATAGTCTAGTTGACATGGTGGTGTTCCAGTCACAGATCGGACTCGATGTCTCGGAGCTCTTTTCCACCCCAATTAATTCCGTGACTCTGTGACAAGCGCCGGCCCAGCCGCGGGGGGGGCGGGGTTCAGGCTGGTGACGGAGGTGGGCGTGGCGACAATGACGTACCGTTCGCTCCGCCCCGAAGGGCGTGGACTCCCCGGGGGGCGGGGCTCGGGGTCGCCCTTCGGACGCGGCGGAAGTACCCGGGCGGTGCGATGACGTCAGGGCCCGCGGCCCGGCGGTGACAAGGGGCGGCCATGGCGCACCGGTACCTGCTGCTGGCGGGGGGCGGCCGCCGCCGGGGGTTGCCCACGGGCCCGCTGCACCAGCTGCTCTGCGGGAGGGGCCTGCTGGGCAGGGCGCGGCCCTGCCTGGCGCAGGTGAGCAGCGAGCGCGGGGGGCGGGGGAGGGCCGTGGTTGCCGTGGCGGCGGCAGCGGGCGGCCCCGGCGCGGGGAGGGGCGCCCCGCTGCCCGGGACTGGGGGCTCCTCACTGCGCCCCGCGGCCGTCCCTAGCTTGTCCTCATCCTGTTCGGCGGAGGCGGCCCCCGGCCTGCTCGCTACTGACCCTTCGGGCGGCGGGGAGCCAGGGCCGGGAGGTGGGTGGGCGGGTAGGCGTGGTGCACCCCGAGCCGGTAGCGGCACCGGGTCCGTGCGGGACAACCTGCGGGCACCGCGGGCTCTTGGGTCCTCTTGCTGAAGGAATATGCAGCGGCACCCCAGAGCTGCTGCTGCTGCATCCCTCCGGTATTCATAGGATCATAAAATGTTAGGAGTTGGAAGGGACCTTAAAGATCATCTCATTCCAACTTCCCGCTGCAGAGGGCAGGGACACCTCCCACTAGACCAGGTTGCTCAGAGCCCCATCCAGCATGGTCTTGAACATTGCCAGGGTTGGGGCATCCACAACCCTTCTCTGGGCAACCTGTTCCAGTATCTCACCACCGTCACAGTATAGAATTTGTTCCTAATATCTAACCTAAATGTCCCCTTTTTCAATTTGTACCCATTACTCCTTGTCCTGTCACTGCAGTTCCTGATGAAGAGTCCCTCTCCAGCCTCCCTGTAGGCCCCCTTCAGATACTGGAAGGTTGCTGTGAGATCTCCATGCAACCTTCTCCAGGCTGAACAGCCCCAGTTTTCTCAGCCTGTCTTCTCAGAGGATGGTTCTCACTTCCCAAGTGCTGTGTACCACCTAACTCAAAAGTTGCTCCGTTGCTTTCTCAGGGTGATGATTCGTGTGAGGTGGGTTGGTGGCTGTGTGAGAGACTGAAATGTTGAAGGTTAATGACTCTGAGCGGTTTGTTTGGGTTGGCACTGTTGGAAAAAAAGAGGCTGTGGATCTCAACCTACTGTTCTGGGATTAACTGGTAAATCGTGATGGCTCGGTGTTCATTCTTACTAAAATGGCCTTTAGGTTTGCTAGTACAAGATGTGCATTACCCTTGTTGACAGCCCTAACATATTGGAGGAATGACAGGCCTGTGCTGCTGCTTGGGAAAAAGGAGATGCTTAATTCCAGCATCTTCCAATGGCATCTTGGGAGGGTTGCTTTGTTTTCCCATAGAGTGGCAAACAATCAGGCATTTGTAGGTGTGGAGGTTATCACCAGGATAGTGGTAATTGTGAGATGACTACACAGAAGGATGTTAATAACGTAGTCCCCAGTAAGAATATGTGGTTCAGTTTTAATGTTGAATTTGTGGGGTTTTTTTGGTCAGAGCTGAACATCATTACAGCAATAAATAAAACACTGTCAGCAGTGCTGCTAATCTCTCAGGAAGCTAATTCTTATTTCTTTCAATAAAATTTAATGAGTTTTTATTTGGAATTGAATTTAGGAAGGGGACTTTGTATTAATTTTAGCATCTGGCTGTGTGTGTAGGCAGCAAAACGAGGAACTTTATTTTCATAGAAGCTGTTACTTTTTTTAATTGATCTTTCTTTTAAAAAAAGTTAGCAGCTTGGAATCATAAGAAAGGCTGGAGAGGACCTTAAAGATCATCTAGTCCCAACCCCCCTGCCCTGGGCAGGGATGCCACTTACTAGACTAGATTGCTAGGAGCCCCGTCCAACATGGCCTTGAACAGTT